AGCAGGAAAATCATCAAACACAACAACTTGCCCTGCATAAAAAATTGTTAACTGAGCAGTTTTTGGCTCCTTCTCCATGGACCTAAAAGAAAAATGATCACATATTAATCATTATGATTTTTGTTTTTCTAAACTAATAGAAATTAATGCTAAAATTATCATATTGACACTCTAAATCGGGCCAAAAAATTTAATTAGTTTAATCATTAAGAAACTGTGTTATTATGACTCTTGATTCATTAATTTTCTTCCACAGAAAGAATGATACATGAAAAGCTTTTAACTGACTTCACAACTAACCAATCAAACGCAACACACACCTTGATTTAACAATGGTTGAAACATCGGAGTAGCGAGGATAATCAACCTGCGCAGAGAGGAAAGGCACAGCAGTTGAGTTTCTTGGAGTGGGAAACAACTCCATGGCTGTTGCAGAGTAACATGATGTCTCAGAGGAACCAATGAGACACAGAGATTCCGGATATCTCATAAGGAAATATCTTAGCCTTGACAATAAAATTCAATAAAAAATATTTTTAGAACAAAAATATCTCAAAACTAATCTCAACTTTCTTTCTTTCTTCCGCCAGTTTTAAAGAGAAAAATCCAAAATTCGAAATATTTATTTTAAGGAGACAAACCTGGACAGTTACGATTCATATACAAAAGCAACATATTTTCGGTTGACATTTTCCACTGAGGTTGAGATATTTTTTTGCTCGCCGAATATGAAGGAAAAATCCGAAACTATGCGTAAGATCCGTCTCCGTAACCAAGACCAAAGGTTCAAGAAGTTTCAGGTTTTACCTATTAAGTTTACATACAAATTTAACCCATCTAAATAAAAAATATATGGGATTAAAATATATATTTCTACTCTATTGACATATTTTTTTTTGTAGAAAATATATATGATTAAAATAATATATTTCTATTTTATATAGATTAAGAATAAATATCTATAAAAAAAATTAATATAAAATAAACATGTTTATTTAACATAAATTCATTACAAGTGGATTCAACTTGTCAAATTGACACATTCATTTATCTAATCTATTTGGAAGAAGAAAAAAAAATGTAAGTCTACATTATTATCGATAAATTTCCACTTTTTAATTCCTAGAACGATAGATGAAGAGGTAGTTCATACATTTATATACACTTCCATGAGACTACAAAAAGATGTCTAAGATAACGCAATTTTTGAACCTTTGTTGTTGCTTTGGGTGTTCTAATCTTGTTATATATCCTGCTATAAGTATTCATATTTTACTGTGTAATTTGTCTTGCTTTGACTTCTTAACGTACCAAAAAAAAAGAAAATTTTATCTTTCATACTTCATTGAAAAGAATAATATAATAATAAAAAAATATAACTACAAATTAAAGTATAAAAAAATACGTTTAATTTGTTTGACATTTTTAATTTCATAAATTTTTATATTCTAACTCTTATGATTTAAAATTTTATTTGATTCTTTTAAGTATTGTTTTTGTTTCTTTTTTTTTTTTAGGGTTTGTAATTTTATAAACTTTTTCTTAAGTCTCTAATAGATAATAAAAATTAAAAGGAAATAAAAATAGTATATAAAAAAGTTAAAAGAGACATTTTACTAAAACATAAAGTTTATAAGATTATATGCAACAAATAATTATTTAAACCAGTAAAATATTGTAATTATTCAAACAATTTTTTTTATAGGATTCAAACATGAATTTAATTATAAGAAATCATGTATAATTATTTTTAACTAGAATTGATTATCGTGTCACCGTGTGATATAAGTGTATAAACATCTCTTAATTTTGTAATTCTTTTAATTTGTTATTATTTTGACTATCATAATAATACTTTATTATTATGTGTGGTTTTTATATTATATTTATTTCCTTTTTGATAATATTAATTTTTTTACTATTTTAGATTTTAAATTATTATTATTATTATTATCATCATTATACTATTGCAGTAACATTTTGTTAATCTTATTATTGTAGCATTAATTTATTATACATTTTATTTTTTATATTTTAATACTGCTGTTTATATTCATTATTAGTACTTTTTATTTATTTATTTAACATTTTTTTGAAGATTATAATGTTAATATATATATATTAATAAAAAAATATTATAATTTGAAATATTTAATGATATTTTAAAGTTTTATTGCAAAACTATTTTACTTTTATATAAGTTTTTTCGTATTAAAAATAATTGCAACAATTGTCACATTATTAATTTTTTAAATGTAATAATAGAATAAATTAATTATTTATATTTTATTTATTATTTTAAATAAAATAAACATCACAATAATTATCTAGCTTAAATTCTGGAAGAAAAAAAAGCTAACAAAAAAAAAGTTAAATGTATAAGTCAGCCCAAAAAACTTCTAACCTGCATAGGGTCAATTTTTCTGGATCGATCCGTTATAATTATGATTTTCTTGAACCATCCAAGTAACTTGTTGTGCCAACAGTTTGATACGTGCATGTCAAAATGTTTTTTTTTTTAAATTATATTTTTTAATTATTCATTTTAAAGAGTTAACTTGTTTTTACTATTTTTAAAGGTTATTTCATTACTTTTAAAATATTTAATTTTATTTTTTATTTTTTTAAAAAATGTTCAATGTTATTCTATTACTTAATTTTATTAATATAAGTGTCAATTTGAACTACTCTTAATTAATAGTCAAACTACTGGCAAGCTTGCAAAATAGCATTCTTTGGCCACTTTATGATCAACATGTACAATGAGGATTCTTATGGATTTGAGGGAAACTTCATTACCAAATGTGGTGTCAATATTGTGGCTTCAAGTGTATTAAGAGAGAAATGATTGAAGAGCATGTTGTAGGAAGTGTTTACGTGTATAACTACATACTTAACTCAAATGTTTGTATGTTCCTTTTCATCAAAACAAAACACGTGAAAGGGTTTATGGAGCCCTTGATTTTTTTACCATTTTGCTAAAGAATTCGACCAAGGATTCGTTGTATGGTGTCAACTACTTTTGGATATTCCCAACTATTGAAAAGTTTCCCAGTAGAGGATATCGACATAACTCCCTTAGTCAATTAGGGTCTTTCAAACAATGCAATTATGGATCTTGACACTTTTTGCCATAGGGCTGTCTAAGCATTAGTGAACGTTATCACTAGCATCCTCCAAGTGACGCAATTTTCAATTGAGTGCACCACTCGAATTGCTCTCAAACGTATCTTTTGTGTCGAGGAAGTAGGGTCGTCTCGCATGGATCCTCTAACTATTGTATTGATGACTCGTCTGGGTTGCTCATGATGTGCATCAATTCTTCTTTCTTTGGACCGACTACACTCCTTATGAACTTTGGTATTTGTTATTCCAATATCATCTCAACTATGGACCTAAGGATGGCCACTTACTCGCTCTTGGGATGAGGGTGGTCGATCAACAAAGTCTTGTAATTTTGCTTTATTAAATCTTAAATTTTATCTTTAAGGGTCATACACTATTTAGTTAAGTGTCCCTTATTTTGATGATAGCGACAAGACTTGGAAGGATTTACTCTCACAGTGTATTGACATGCTTGGGTACCAACAATATCTCCATTGTGAGGGCCTACTCATGTACTCTTGAACGACTTGCATTAATATGTGTATACTAAGAATATCTTGATCCCCTCATAGGTCAGTTGTGTGATACCAACTACTTTCCTCAACTCATAAAGGGGATATCTTCCAACTTATCACCTTTGGTTGTAGATGTCTCGGCTCGAGCTTGGTTATGGAAGTTTGATAATTCTTCCATTTGCATGTATTTGTTAGCACGTCGGCGAAGATCATCCATGTTGTGTGGTGGTTTCTTGCACAGGCTGTTAATGAAAGGTCTTGGTCTCAATGTCGTTGTGAGGTGATGCAAGGTGATGATCGAATTAAGATCTTTGATTTCCAAAGCCACTTTGTTAAATTTGTCCATGACAATGCATAGAGACTTTTTTTTCTTCTCTTGTCTAATACTCACCAATGTCAAAAAGAGTAAATAGATGAGGCTGATTAGTGGTGAATTGAATGGTAAATTGAGAAACAAAGGTCTTAGACAAATTGAACGAGTTAGGTGGAAGTCGGTTGAACCAAATCAATGCTTGTTCTTTAAGAAAAACAAGAAAGATACGACATATAGTAGCATTGTTTGTCATGCTTAGTGTGACTTAAGTAAGGAAAACATCTATGTGTTCATCGGGATCTGTGGTACCATTATACCTATCCAATGGAAGGGACTTCTAATGTTAAAGTAGTGGTGCCTGCATAGTGGTGGGAAAGAAGGGTGTCAATGTGACCCTATAGGAATGTGTGTTGGTGAAGAGTTAGCGCTATGGGTGTAGTGTTTGCTAGGGTGGTCATTGAGAGATGGGGAATGGGTATCCTTGGGAAGGATATGAGGATACTTCAAATTGGGTATGAGTTGGGAGAGACAATCTCCAAGATGGATCCTAACTCTTCAAGTGGGCATTTTTTTTTGTCTTAATGTCAATAATTCTTTGGCATCTCTTTCTCATTGTTGATGCATGGTTGCCATTTCTTCTCTTAATTAATGAATGACATCTGAGAGATCTGTCTCATCGACCACTTCCACATGGTATTGCTCAAAACAAGGGTCTTCCACAATTGTGTTCTTCAACATAGTAACCATTCTGATAGTAGTTTGTTGCTTGAAATCTTCAATCTTCAGGCCCACGATGGGCGCCAAAATACACATGTCCAAGGGTACACTAGTAAACATTTAACGTCGAACTTTGAACTTCTTACAAGTTGATAACTCCAACGCTCAAGTTAGGACATGTTCATATATGTAATTGAGTAAATAAATAATAGTTTTACCTTAATTTGTGTAACCATTTATATTGACTATGATGGACTTGAGTTTGGTAGACTTTGTTCCTTGATTATCAATTAAGTAATATGATTATTAATGATAGATTAACTTGTTAATCTCGTTTATTGCTCTTTTTAGTTAGAAAATTTGTGTTGAGTGTTTTGAAGTTTGATAGTGTTGGCTGTCTTAGCTTGCTCAACGACCAAGAGCATTGGGATCGTTTTAAATAGGATATGCTTATAAGGGTGAACTCATCATGGATTATTTCAGCAGTTTTGGTCATCAAAGTGATTGAGGTTAAGATGATAATGCAACTTTAATCAAAGCGCCATCATTGACCATCTCGACAATCAAAATGGCCAAAGAAAAAGGTGTGGTTGAAACATTTGAAAGAGAGGTCAAAACATATCATCTAATTCCTTTTCGGTATAACACTTACATAATCAAGTTTTTTTTTTTTTTTCCCCTTTGTGCATGAGAATCAAATTTAAACATGCTTAAACAACTGAACTAGACTTATGATATATAGCCTTAAGTATCTTTAGAAAATGTTTTTTTAAAGATAACATAATTATAAATATTTTATATAAAATTTAACATTCATATACATGGTCATGCTTGAACATCGATATAAAATAAATTTTTATATATTAAATACGAATTTATATCTTATGCAATAATGTTT